AAGTCTAACTTAGTTAACTAATATGCAGGTTATTTGAAATACTAAAATATGGTGTTTAAAGAATGTTTAGTTTGAACATTTAGAATATTTTTGAAAGGTTTGCAGAGGGTTGAGATGTTTTTAAAAAGTTAAATTAGAATTATTTAACAAGTTTAGCGGAGTTGCCGTATGCTTAAAAAATCAAATTCAACTTAACTAATCAGTTAATTGAAATATTTATCACAAGAAATTCAGACGAAAAAGATGTAAGACGATTTCAATTCGAAAATACGTTTAGGTCAATAGATTTTCATCTTGCTTTCAAATTTCAAACAGGAGAAGTCAAATTAAAGACCTTGTTTTTTTAACTTAACTTTTGTTCTATCGGTATCTGAAATGTGGCACTCAGATCGCATTTGGAGTATTTTTTTTAGGTTTTTGAAATTCAATTTTGGGCGTCTTAACGCCATGCGGGTTTCCTATGTAGTTTACGATTAAATTGCAAAGTCGGAATTAACATCAGTGATGGATGATAGATAAGTCCCAGATGGGTTTTAACATCACAAATTAGATTTTATGAAAATTGCATATATTGAATATAGGCCCTCGATGTTACCACATGTTTACATTTGTATTTGCATAGGTAAATAAAGATATGCATACTTAAAGTAATTTGGATTTACTTGAAGAATCTGAACGAAAAATTCCTACGCATCGTTTGGGAGAAAACGCACATATTAGAATTTTCAATCAAGAGCAACACAAACCGCATCCATAACACTTAGTCCCAGGTAGCATAACTAAACTCATGCGGTGCGTACTGAGTATTTGCTGCAAGGTCTGCTTCATTGTTGCGAATAGTACACATATGCAGGGTTGCCACTGCATCAAAATTTTGTGTACCACAATATCTAACTAAAAAGGTCTAAAATGAAATAAAATTTAATTTTTGTTTACCGTCAATTTGTTGATAATATTAAACGTTAAAAAACTCAATATTTTCAATTCGTGTAAAAAATAAATTTTCTCTACATATTTGTTAGCATTTTTGCATATACAGGCAGTGTCTAATGTTATGTATACCCTTGTATTCGGATTGAGCGACAACAAAAACCTATGTATGTATATAAATTTTTATTTTTATCGGGCTCCCATTAAAAGCGTCGAATACGATAGGGATATAGAGGTTTCAATATGCAGAAAGTTTTTTTTGGGAAACTGTATTATTTATGAAAATATAGTTCCTTCTATAATATAAACCATATAGATCAAAGCTTCACACTTAATATCAGATCATAAAAATAAAAAAATAAAATTTTGTAACATAGCGTCAAAATTTTTATTCAGAACTTGCACAAAAATTTAACGGGCTACAAAACTGCGTACTCAGAAATTTTCTAAAAATTCTGAATAAAAATTTTTAAAATTTGATATAAAATTTTTTAACTTTTATACACTATATTTTCGTATATAATTAATGAAAAAACTGTTTCATGAAAATAATTGTGAATATTTTATTAGCACAAGGAGTACGCTAATATTTGGCACTAACTGTACATATGTATGTACAGTAGGGTGGTCCAAAAACAGTAAAGTCGGAATTGTAATGCTCTCCCCCCAAGGATTGTTCTATATCGAAAAAAGGAATACCCCTTTTTTTATTTTGAAATCAAAAAATATATAGAGGTCGCTCAAAGTTTTCCATGTATTTTTATATGAGAAAAAAAAATTCATCGTAGAAATGGTATAGTATTCTGAAAGTCAATATTTTTGGACGAAAAACTCTGGTTTTCTTCAGGAGACTTTCAATAATAATACCCAATTGTTTATTTATTTGATACTAAAGATTTTTTATTGGTCGCCCCATTGCATTTTTCGGGGTTTTTGTGGGTTTTTGGCTGACCTATAAATTATAGTTGCAATAAAAAAAATGGTTAAATAAACAATTAGGTGTTATTACTGAGAATCTCCTACAAATAAACAGAGTTTTCTCGTAGTAAAATATTGATTTTTAACTATTCTATACCATTTCTATGAAAAGTTGTTTTTCCCCTATATAAAATACATGAAAAACTTTGGGCGCTTTGAGCGACCTTTTTTGATTTCAAAATAAAACAAGTAAGAAAGTCTAAGTTCGGGCGGAGCCGAACATTAAATACCCGGCGCAAGTATTAAATATATGTTTTTTCACCTTTCCGAAACCTTCCGCTACATGATAAGCCGGGGTGTATCAATTTTGAGTAAATTAGCGTCCTTAAATTTCAAAATATTGCAGTTTCAAGCATTATTGAAATTAACCGTTATATGAAAAGCGGCCGTACTTTCAGTCCGATTTCAATAATTCTCAACGTTTTGCTTTTATGTGGCAAGCACAATAGCCATACCGAGTTTGGTACAAATTGGTAGAACGGTTACCGATATACTTATATGTGATCATAAGTGGGCGGTGCCACGCCCATTTTCCAAAATTTTACCATAAACGTATTTCTTGGTAAAGAATTGTTGCAAGCATCAATTTTGAATAAATTAGCTTCAATATTTACTGATTTATCGAAGATTTTGTATTTCTCTAAATTACCGTTATATGGGATGTGGGCGTGGTTATTGTCCGATTTTAAAAAGTTTCGGCGATTTTTTATGCTGTACCAAGGCCAACAACTGTGCCAAGTTTGGAAGAAATTGGTGCAGCGGTTACCAAGATATACACATGTAACCATAAGTGGGCGTGGCTACGCCCATTTTCCAAAAATTTATAATATTCTTATTTTTCGTCTAAAAATTATTGTAAATATCAATTTTGAGTGAATAATCTTCAGTAGTTACTAAAATATCGCAGTTTTCGTATTTCTGGAAATTACCGTTATATGGGAAGTAGGCGTGGTTAAAGTCCGATTTCGCCCATTTTCAATACCAACCTACCTTGGATTAAGGGAAACCTACATACCAAATTTCGTTGAGATTTCTCAATTTTTGCTCGAGTTATCTTGTACACGGACGGACGGACAGACGGACAGACAGACATGGCTTAATCGATTTCTTTTTTCATCCTGATCATTTATGTATACATTTGTCTATATCTATCTCGATTCGTTTTGGCTATTACAAACAACCGTTATGTGAACAAAATTAATATACCCTTGTGCACAAGTGCGCTCGGGTATAAAGAATAAGGCACGGTGTACATTAGTGCGATACGATATGCGATACGATACGCGATGCGATATGAAATGCGCGCAGTGCTCATAACAGCGATGCGACACGCGATACCATTTTGTGATAGCTGCACAAACATTTGTGCCCTTATAAGCTTGTAAATGAGTTGCTTCGCAACCGACCTTTAGACCTTTCGAATGATGGGTCTATGTTTATGTCTATAAACTTTTTAAAAATTTAAGAGAAAAGTATGTTTAACATCGAGTAAAACTGATGTTTAGTTTCCCTCGGCAAAACCTACCTGAAAACTAGGTATATTTACTTCATTATTTTTTGAAGCATTGTGTAATAGAGCACACAAATTTGTACTTTCTCTCTTTAATTTAAAAACTCCTTAAAAATAATAAAATAACACTAAAGAAAAAAAACATATAAAAATATAACGAATAATCAAAAATAATTACCTACATACATACCTCATTTTTTAGTATTTGTTATTACATCTGATTTCTTCTTTTATTGGTTAATGAGATGATTATTTCTTAATTGCTTCTAGTTACACTGATTACTAATTGTTTGAGTATTTGAAACAAAATAGTTAATCATTAACATTTAAACAAACACCAAATCCTGTTTGCTAGTCAAAATTAAAAATAAATAGGTTTAAAATTATTGGATTCTTTAAAATTCTTTTTAAAGATGTGAAAACAAAGGCAAAAAAACCATCACAGAAAATATTCTTTTGTGCATTTACCTGTGTCCTTGACTTCAGACGATATATTTCTCCATGCCTGTCTGTTGTACAGTCGTTTTTTTGTCTGTATAGTTTCAAATACATGGGTTTTTTATAAAGTCGACTAAAAAAATTGAGGAAGATACTTCCGCCTGTGAAATGCATGCTTATTGCAAAAAATACCGCGCAGTGCTAATCGCACCTCGTTCAGAAAACCGTGTTGCACGTGCGATACGCATGCAATATTATATCGCATCGGTGTCGCTGTCATGCAAGTGTGCACAGTTTTCATCGCTTCCTACCAATTTCCACGTACTCAGCATGTCGATGTCGCATCCATATCGTATCGCATATCGCATCGCATATCGTATCGCACTAATGTGCACCGTGCCTAAGGGTATATTTTTTCGGTATAGAACAAACCTAGGGGCTGAAGCATAAAAATTCCGACTTTACCTTTTTTACATGCATTTCTCGACCACCCTAATGCACAGTGAACATTGTATGCATGTATTCACAGCGACAATTTAGAGATCAGTATGGTGATAACAATTAACACAACAAACAGAAGAGTTGCAGCATGTGCTGCTTATTTAAAACAAATGGATAGCTCTCGCCAACACCAAACGAACGGATAGCCATAGTTGCTTCAAAAAGGCCCAAAATAAACAAAAAATTAAATAAGACCCATATTTGGTACAATTGTACCAGAGAGGCAACCGTGCACATATGTATGCCAAAACATAAGTTTGAATACAAATATTGAGTACTTACGCGTTGGGTATTTTCACTCACGTATCTACCTAGTAATAAAAATATCTTTCGTAGTAAGCGAAACGCTACGCGGAGCATCGGGGATCAGAATTGAGAAAGTCGAAAATTCCCAACAATCAAACAAATATTTGCTTCGTATGTAAGTACGTCCATATGCATGTATGCATGAGCGTACCTTTTTCCACTACTTTACATACAACAGCGGCGACGACTGTGATTTTGGTAAATACTCTCTTCATAGTAAATACATCTCAAAGATCTTATTTTGACTCGCTCTCTATCTCATTTCAGCTCCATGCCTCGTGTTTTTGCTTTTGTTACGGCTTTATGGCAAACTGGTTTTTAAAGCTCAGCTCTGCGTTGCGATTGTGTCATTCGAAATCATCGCTTCAAGCCGAACAGTTTGTAGAAGAGAACACACGGTTGTGGCTTTTGAAAGCAAATATAAAAACAAAAATTATAATTAGTGTAATCGAAGTACATAAATAGTAAAACGAGTTCAGACGACAGACGCGTCAAGGCGAAAAACCGCAAAAAAACCAATTCGATTCTGTGACACCGTTCGCAGTTCAAAAAATGATAAGCATTAGCTGTGCGTTGTTGTTGGCGTGCTTTGCACTTGGCCTTCCGGCGGTTTTGTGTGCTACAGAGGCCGCGCCACCACAGGCAAATTCACCCGCCACACTACCTCCAATTCCAAGTGGCATCTTCTTGACACAGCCCAACATCTACGACTCGCCCAGCCTGGCCGATGGGTTTGATGATTTCGACGACTATGTGCCATATCGCAGCGATACATTGGATCACTTCTCGTGGGCTTTGCTCAAATTAGTGCTGCACGAGGAGTCGGGTAACGTCATCATATCACCCTTCTCCGTGAAGCTTTCGCTGGCGCTACTGGCCGAAGCGGCGGGTAATGGCTCGCTGACTCAACGGGAACTCTACAACACGTTGACGGACATCAAACAACCAGAAAACTTGCGTGGATTTTACAGAAAGACACTCACTGTGCTAAAGAAGGAGAATCCCTATTATACACTCAACTTGGAATCGAAACTTTTCACAGATGTGGTCATTGAACCGCACCAGCGCTATGCAGCCCTGCTGAGCAGCTATTATCAGACCGACATTGAGCGCCTGGAGTTTGCGAATGCAAAATCCTCTGCGGATACCATCAACAATTGGTGTAGCAATGTGACCAACGGCCGGCTAAAACAACTGGTCAACGACGGAAATGTTCAAAATAATGTCCTGTTGTTGGCGAATGTGCTGTACTTTAATGGAGTATGGCGTCGGCCGTTCAATCGCACATTCGAAGGCGTATTTTTCCACACACCGCAGAAACAATTGCGTGCTGATTATATGGAGCAGACCGACTTCTTCTTCTACAAAAACGATGAAGCGTTAGATGCGAAGATTTTGCGGTTGCCTTATAAAGGCAGGAAATTTTCCTTGTTCATTTTGTTGCCAAAGACGTTGGGCAACATCGAACAACTGCAAAAGAATCTGGCCAATGACCAACTGAAACGTATGCAGTGGGCCATGGAACCGGAGAAGGTGAAGGTCACAATGCCTAAGTTTAAGTTTGATTTTGACAAGAGCTTGAAGCCGACATTGCAGCAATTGGGCATCAACGACATTTTCACGAACGAGGCCTCTTTGCCGGGGTTGGCGCGGGGCGCAGCCGTTGCGGGCGTATTAAAAGTGTCGAATATATTCCAAAAGAGCGGCATCGATGTGAACGAGAAGGGAACCGAGGCATTTGCTTCAACGGTAGTGGAAATCGATAACAAATTTGGCGGCACACCGCTTATCGAAGAGTTTAACGTAAATCAGCCGTTTATTTTCTTCATTGAGGAAGAAGCTACAGGAAATATAATTTTTGCCGGCAAGGTGTTACAGCCAGAAGTTTAAGTTGGCATTGGGATGTGTATTTGCATATTTAAGTGTTTAGGTAGGGTTTAATTTATATAATTAGCAAGTAATTTTATGGTCACATATACAAAACGTGAGTGTCATAAGTACTATAAGAATGGAAATGACTAAGCAAATGATGAGCATTAGGTATTATTAAGAAATTATTTTTAAATTTCTCTTAAAATATTTAAGTATTTGTGTTTCACATATGCGCATTAGTTTCATGTGCAACTTGCAATTGATTACGCGTACTTATCTCTAAGGAAGTGTAAGAAGTTTATAAACTGCAAACTATTTATAGTTTTTCAATTCAATGAGAACTGTGTGATAAGTTTACAAAGTAAGAAAGAATAAAACACCAAAATTTAAATCGTTTTTCTATATTTACTATAGGAAAATCTGCTGCTGATAAGGTGTTGATTAGAACAAATGGTTTATTATAGATTTCACTGAAGATGATTTTCGATTTTTTGCAATTAGTACGTATGTATGTATGTATGTACATTAGACTGCATCACCAAAAAAATTTACGGTTTTTCCGCCGGGATTACAAAATGTATTATATCTTAAGACGTCCACCAAAATAATTCGGAAAAATATTAAGATTTTAGTGAGCTGGACAGGTTTAAAAATACCTCCAAAAATGGAGTTTTTTATGAATAAAAATAGTTTCTTAAAGAACTTTTTGAAAAAAGTCCCCTCAGATGACAAAACAGATTAAGCTTAAAAAATCTGCATAAAAATATTTGAAAATCTTTTCAACGGAAACGTAAGAACGATATTTTTGGTGCTGTTTTTTTTACTACTATTGCAAAAGTCGCTATAATACTTATTTATACACTTTCAAAAGTCTCCATCTTCTGATGAACTTAGAAAACTGCAAGAAAACGTGGTAGTTTCGGTGCCTAGTGGAAGGCGTAGTGAAAAAGAAGCAGACCAATCTTCATGGAAGAGCGAACGCGAAAAGCTAAAAAAAGATAGCTATTATTATTATTTATGGATCACCATTATAAAATCACATAACGCTGTTTGCAAGTGGACTACTCATTTGTGCAATATTAAAAAAAAAATCAACAAACTTTCGTACAAATTTCAAACTTTTAAAAATTCTAAAAAATCAATCGACATTTTTAGCCATTTGAAACGTGTACTTTATTCTACTAGAATTCAATGGGCTGCAAAACTGCATACTCAGAATTTAATTAAAAAACTCGACATTTTAACGAAAATCTGTCTATTTTTTTTTTTTTAATTGCATAAATTTTTAAGGCAGTGTCACTCGATTGGTACATTTGTACAGATTTGTAAATTTTTATATTGGCCTGCTGGTAAAAAAAAAAGTGGGAAATTTTTTTTTGCATTCAAAAGATTGGTACAATACAGCGATGTTCTATTGAAAAATTTCAATAAATTAATTTTCGTGATTGGGATAATGAAAAATATTTTGGGTGTTCAAACAATTGGGATACGATTTACACCAAATTTTAGCAAATACCCAATCGTGTGACACTGCCTTTAAACTTGTATTTATACGGATGTTAGTAAAGAACGAACTATAAAAAACTAGCCGAAATTACGAAACAACAAAAATAATGTTTTAAAACTTGTCAAAATTTGGTGCGGACATAATTTTTTCGACTACTGTACTATGATTACTCGGCCGTGCTTTGACTTACAAACAAACTACGGGCAGAATTGCAAGATTTCAACCCTGTTTTTATGAAAAATTTTATTTTTATCAGTATTTTTCTTTTAATCAAAATATGTTGAAATAAAAGTGAAACTAAAAAAAAATTTGCCAGAACAAAAAATTTAAGTTAAATAAAGAGGCTATCAAGCAACCATTTTGGTTCTTTACATCGAAACCAGATAAATCTTCGTGGACCCCCATTTACAACTCATGGACCCCATACTTTTTTCACCTCACCGTGGACCCCCGTTGAATCTTCCGTGGACCCCTGGGGGTCCCCCTGGACCACTTTGTGAATCACTGATCTAGATAGAGAAGACAAAAAATATAACCTTAAGCAAAAGCAGATGTATGTATGTATCTATGTATGTACATATGTATGTGTGTATGTATATTGCTTATGAAACAAAATAGATATGTATGTAACGTAAGTTTCACTTCTCCAGTGAGGCCCAGGCGCACTTACTTTTTTTATTTCCTACTTCTTTTGGATAGGTTATTGGCGGCCGCCGTGGTCGAGTGCATACTATTACTCGGTACTACCTTAGTTCAAAGAAGCTCTGCAGAAAAAAATTATCAATTGATTAAAAAACCCAACTCCAGTTAGCTTTTTTGCGGGAGTTCAATAAATAACTTACTTTTAATTAGCTATGACAAAACTAACTTTAAGTTACTTGTAAAGTCGTGCAATAGTAATGCAGACGTTATCGGGAGTTTGTTTTCTTTGCAAGTTTCTTTTTAAATATCCTCACACAAATTACTTTCAATACACTTTTTTTCTGAACTTCGCAGATTCTTTTTCGTATTCAGGACAAATAAAAGGCAGATCGAAATTTTACTTTATCATTTTGAAGTTATGTCTGACGGTGTTCGAATATGTGACCACCTACAGCAGAATACCCTGCAGGGAGTGACGTTAGCTTATACCTAACTTTAGTCTGTTTACGCGAACACTAGTGCTAACTATTAACTGTGTATTTTGTTCGAAAAAAGCTAACTACTTTTGTGGGGCGATGGCCGCAAAAAAGTCAGACCTGGATACCTCTGCATTACATGTCAACTAACTTGTAACTAACTACTTTTGGACATAAAATATCAATAAGAAAAACAAAATATTTTTTTGTTTTTTTACTTTTTTATTTACTTATTTATTTACTTTATTTTATTACATTTCATATTTGTTTACATATTCTGCTCTGGGTGGCCCCATATTCGAACACCGTCAGACATAACTTCAAAATGATAGTATAAAATTTCGATCTTCCTTTTATTTGTCCTGAATATGAAAAAGAATCTGCGAAGTTCAGAAAAAAAGTGTATTGAAAGTAATTTTTGTATGAGGATATTTAATAGAAACTTGTAAAGAAAACCAACTCCCGATTGCGTCTGCATGACTCCTGCACGACTTTACAATTCACTTTAAGTTGGTTTTGTCATAGCTAATTAAAAGTGAGGTATTAATCGAAATCTCGCCAAAAAGCTAACTATAAGTTGGTTAGTTTTAACAAATGATAATTTTTCACTGCAGGGTATGTAAACAAATATGAAATGTAATAAAATAAAATAAATTAATTAAAAAGTAAGCAATCAAAAAACTATTTTGTTTTTCTTAGTGATATTTTATGTCCAAAAGTAATTAGCTACAAGATAGCTGTCATCTAATGCAGAGGAAACCAGTTCTCTCTATTTTGTAGCAATCGCCCTTCAATTTAGTTAGCTACGGCCAAAGGAAATAGTTAATAAATGCTAGTTAGTAAGAGTTATCTAGAAACTAGTCACATTTCCTGCAGGGGGATTTTACTACAAGCGATCGTTCCTCGGCCGGAATACCAAACCTTGGAGAGTATTCGTGCCTTACAAAATTTTCACATAAAACCATTTTCCATTTGGAGGCGGTGCTAAATTGTAGGTACCGTCATTTGAGTTATAACATCAAGAGACGCACCAGAAACTCGACTAACACTTAGCAAAATGTGAACGAAAAATATTTATTTTTTATTTATTTTCGATACTTACGTCCATGCTGGTACTCAGAAATGCATCATGCATGTATTTCAGAATGAAGCAAACACATACATATGTATGTATAAACTTTCCACCATGTGCTGATCTGCTACATTTTTATCGCGTCGCAGCCTCATTTGCGGTTAAAGATATTCCTGTTTCTATACAAAAACATACATTACAAGTGCAATGCATCCCTGCAGGAAACCAATCCCTTTCCAAGCTGTGTATAAAATCGTGCTCGATTTACAAAATGTTAATAATGCTCGTGCTTTGTGTGGCGAATTTGGAAATGAAACAATAATCATCATATTTTAAGTCATTACATTTACATATGTATGTGTTAGTGTTGGGAAGTATCGAGTCCTTTTGAGCATCGATTTTTTATATATTTATACTTTTACGGATCGGATATTTTTGAGAGTACTGAGTACTTTCTTTAGATATACACATGTTGGTAGCATTTCAATGCTTACGACCTGGCAGCACTTTATTAAACTTAATATTTTAATCCCAAATTACTTCTAGTACTTTTAAGTACTTTTAATCCCAAATTACTTCTAGTACTTTGAATCAATCTTGAGTACATTTATCAACATGATTATTGGAACAGAGTATTTTACAGAACAGAGTACTTTCGAGTTCCTTTGTGAGTACTGAGTACTTTGGAGAACTCAGAATAGATACTTTTAAAAATCGGGTACTGTGGATCCTTTTTAGTTCTGAGTACCTTGGGTATCGATACTGCCCAACACTAATATGTATGTATATACATATGTTTGTATGTATATTAGACTATGTCAAAAAAAACGAATAGCAATCTGGGCTTTCAGCAAAACTTGGTTTCATCAACTCCGCTGTTGACCGCGGAACAATATAATTATCACAATACAACCTCAAATTTTATAATGAAATACTGCCAGCACTGAGGTTAACATTAATACACCTATGCTAGCAATAGTATATTGATGAGTTTTTATAAATTTTTAAGCCAATACAACTTAAATTTGAAAAATAATAGAAATTTTATATTTCGTTTCTTGATTGTTCTTCCAAATAAAACTAATGTTTATCTTTTAAAATACAAGATGGGGATCAATGAAAGTATGAAAACTAGTTTGTTTAAATCATAATATTTCATAAAGTAATTAACTATATAAGTTTTGCTTCTCAAAAAGTTGTTTAACTAGTTAATATAAATTTTAGAAAAAAATATATTTTACATGCTCTAAAAAACACGGTGCTTGTTTTCTAAATTTGATGTAAGACTATCTTTATAGAGAATTTAATTCCCCACAAAACTGGATTAAGGGTTTTCCTTTATTTATTACATTTAATTGTTTATAAAAATAAAAGTATTGGAACAACATTTTTTTTATTGAAACTTCTTATTTTTACGAGCGCTAACTAAAAAATGTAGATAGAGGGCTGAAATTTCGCCGACATTATTTTTTGTAACCGACAACGAAATTTTGATATGGGACCGAAAGAAAAAAAACATTTGTTTTATTTGACACAGTCTAATGTACACAAATTTTGTAGGAAACCGAATTTATGTTAGGTTTGGTATAATGGTTGTTCCCAGTATACAAAAATCGTGTCCCCATTAAAACTAGTTTTTGTTTAAGCAACCAGTAGCTCTGGTTTACTCCTAGTATATAAATACAAAAAAGCAT